TAAAACTAAGTCTGGGCAAAGATTCTTTGATTCAAGTCCTCTATTTTATATGGTTCAGAGCAGCAAGTGTCTAATAACTGTTCGTCTGAAATTGGAGAGGTTTTTGATCTCCTTAACTTTGCTAGGAAGCATATTATAAAATTCTACACATTTATAAAAACTGCCTTTTTCAAGAAGAGTGGTCTTGTGTAGAGGGAAAGTGAGATTATCTTTATGCCTTGTATCATATAAATGGCTAGACAATGCACCATCGAAAAACTGCTTATTTTTGAAAACAAAGTTTACACATTCTGAAAAAAATATACCGGGTAAAGTTAACAAGTTTAAAGATTTGAATTTTCCTCTACAAGATTCACCTACTTTGAAATTTCCCAGAATTCTAATAATTCTTTTCTGAATTGTGAAGACTTCTTGACCGTGTGAACCACCCCAAAAAAGGATTCCGTATGACATAACCGAGTAAAATTGACCAAAGTAGACTGTTCTGAGAGTTTCAGGATCAACAACCTTCTTCAGTTCTTTGAGTGCATAACAAATTCTACTAAGTCTACCACACAGTTGTTTCACATGTTCCGACCACCCCATGTTTTCATCAATGGTGATACCAAGAAAGTTTGTTTTCCTAACATATGATATTTGTGTCTCATAAAGATTAATAGAGTGTGGAAACACTGAAGTATTTCTGCCATGTCGGAAAAGAATACAGTTCGTTTTGGATGTATTCAGAACAAGAGCATTGTTGTGAAACCAATTTGCAATAATTTCTGTGGCATTATTTGTTTTGTGACACAATAGGTTATAATCTTTTTCTACTATAAGCAAGTTAGTGTCATCGGCATATGAAGTTAAAGTAATAGTTGGATCTACCATGCTGTTTGACATATCATTCACATATAGAATAAACAAGATCGGACCAAGTACGCTCCCCTGTGGTACACCCATAGAAATTGTTTTCGCATCTGAGTGGTATGACTTTGTATTATGCCTCACACAAACTGTTTGTACTCTGTTTGAAAGATAGGATGTAAACCAGTCATGTGCTACTCCCCGAATACCCATTTTATATAGCTTGCTGTTGTATATATTATTTTCATGAACGCACATCATCGGGTTCTGATTATACGAGGGGTGAAAGACATGCATGTTGATTTTTTCAAAATCCATTTTCTCGAAATTTGTGGGGGTGACAAGAAAAATATTCTCACCATGTTAATCTACTATGTTTTCTATATGGATTGTCTCATTTTCATGAACGCACATCATCGGGTTCTGATTATACAAGGGGTGAAAGAAATGCATGTTGATTTTTTCAAAATCCATTTTCTCGAAATTTGTGGGGGTGACAAGAAAAAGATCCTCACCTTGTTGATCAAATATGTTTTTTATATGAAATGTCTCATTTTTATGAACGCACATCATCGGGTTCTGATTATACAAGGGGTGAAAGAAATGCATGTTGATTTTTTCAAAATCCATTTTCTCGAAATTTGTGGGGGTGACAAGAAAAAGATCCTCACCTTGTTAGTCTACTATGTTTTCTATATGGAATGTCTCATTTTTATGAACGCACATCATCGGGTTCTGATTATACAAGGGGTGAAAGAAATGCATGTTGATTTTTTCATAATCCATTTTCTGGAAATTTTTGGGGGTGACAAGAAAAAGATTTTCACCACTTCAATCTACTCTATATTCTCTATGTTATATATTATTTTCATGAACGCACATCATCGGGTTCTGATTATACGAGGGGTGAAAGACATGCATGTTGATTTTTTCAAAATCCATTTTCTCGAAATCTGTGGGGGTGACAAGAAAAAGATTTTCACCCCTTCAATCTACTCTATATTCTCTATGTTATGTATCATTTTCATGAACGCACATCATCAGGTTCTGATTATACAGGGGGTGAAAGAAATGCATGTTGATTTTTTCAAAATCCATTTTCTCGAAATCTGTGGGGGTGACAAGGAAAAGATTCTCACCATGTTAATCTACTTTGTTTTCTATATGGAATGTATCATTTTCATGAACGCACATCATCGGGTTCTGATTATACGAGGGGTGAAAGACATGCATGTTGATTTTTTCAAAATCCATTTTCTCGAAATTTGTGGGGGTGACAAGAAAAATATTCTCACCATGTTAATCTACTATGTTTTCTATATGGATTGTCTCATTTTTATGAACGCACATCATCGGGTTCTGATTATACTAGGGGTGAAAGTAATGCATGTTGATTTTTTCAAAATCCATTTTCTCGAAATTTGTGGGGGTGACAAGAAAAAGATCCTCACCTTGTTAATCTACTATGTTTTTTATATGGAATGTCTCATTTTTATGAACGCACATCATCGGGTTCTGATTATACAAGGGGTGAAAGAAATGCATGTTGATTTTTTCATAATCCATTTTTGGGAAATTTGTGGGGGTGACAAGAAAAAGATTTTCACCACTTCAATCTTCTCTATATTCCCTATGTTATATATTATTTTCATGAACGCTCATCATCGGATTCTGATTATACTAGGAGTGAAAGAAATGCATGTTGATTATTTCGAAATTCATTTCCTTGAAATGTGGAGGTGACAAGAAATTGAATTTCACCATGTTCATTTATTCCAAATTCTATATGAAATGTATGATTTTCATGAACGCACGTCATCGAGTTCTGATTTTCTAGCCACAGAATTTAGTCAGGGTGCTAATAATCATGCATCCCATCCACAGATTTTCATTTTCCTCTATGTCAGCATGTGTGGCTGTAAATCTGTGGGTAACTTCACGGTAATCATATTCCATGATCAATCCACTGCCTTTTCCCATTTGTTAGTAGAATGTAGAAATATTTTGATTGATTTTTGAGCCATTCCAGATAGATTGAGTTTCTTTAATCTACCCATTCCAAAACATACTAATAGTGCTTATCAGTATGTCATGTTATCCAGAGCTAGTGTTTTTGACAGATGATTATTTTGATCAACAGTTAAAACACACTAGGTATTTGTCCTATAAATTTCCCCTTCCTAATGAAAATAAAGAATGCCAATCAGTAATTTTGCAAGAAAAACTGACATGAGAAAATTGCATCACTATAAATTGAGCAATTTTGTGTATTGTCAGTTTTTCTAGAGAAATTACTTATGACAATTTTTTGTGTTAGTAAAAAATTGTATCCAATTGAGAAAAGTTTTGGCAAGATAAATCAAGGACAATATACAAATAAACAACAATAATGATTACTCTTGCTTTTGGGTGTATTGCTTCATATAAATATATATCCATTTTTGTATGTCCATATTTTATCTGAGAATATTCCTCTTCAATGATAACTCTTATTGAGGATTTCCTGTATGGTAGTTTGTCGAATTGATTTCCTATATTTTTTGTGCTGTATTCAGCCGAAATTTTCCTAAAACGTCTCATCTTGCTAGTTTACACTTGAACAATACCCAACAATCAAATTTGACAACAGAAATTGGAGTGACATCAGGCACATATCTACTAGATGAAGTATGGTTTTGAGGAACAGGTAGTTTTGCAGGGATAAAAAAGGTACATCGTTTTTTATCCATGTCAAAATGAATCACATCATCATCAAATAGCATTTTCTGTAGAAGAGTTGATTCATCATTGAAAAAAAGGTGTGATGATTTCAAATAATGTATGACTTCATCAAATACTATAAACACGAATAACCTTCTGATAACCTTGTGGTTTGAAAGATTCACTGGTCTAGCTAGACGCTTGTAACAATGATGGAAGTATGGTGTAAATACTGATGTGCATTTGTTTCAGAAATTTTACTTGACATCTCGAGAACAGCGAGAGCAATGGTTCCGTCGTTCTTCTAATAGATGGCGACATTGCACAATTATAACATCTGTCAGTTTTGAAATTGTCGCAGATTTTTCGATTTCAGAGTTGAATAATCCCACTGTTACATATGTTCCGCTTACCTAAAATGCCGGTCGAGTTATTTTTCTGAGCCGAATACGCGCACCATATCTTACTTCCATCATTGTTGTAACAAATGATGGTCTGAATTATTTATCACATGTCATGACTTGGGCTGTCGGATGATCCGATGTGCCGTCTCTGCCTTGAAGATGATGAAACAGCAGAGCATGTAGTCATGTACTTACTCTGTGCCTGCTCCGCGCGGCCCGAATCAGGTTTTCGTTGTTTGGCAGGGTTTTACTCTCGCCCTCGGACCTGAAAGTTCACTCACCAAGTAACCTAATCGGCCTCATTATGAAGCTGGATTTACTTGGTGAAGTATGAATTGGTCGCAGTGAAGGGCTGAATAGACACGCTCACTTGTTCTTTTGTTCTTTAAATTGTTCTTATCCATCATTCGGTTGCCCTCTTACGAGCAACTCGCAAAAATCTTCAAGGGACTTGTACAAGCAAGGAATGAAGGGGGTCTTACCTTTTAACGTGTGATCCCAAAACACTTTCTTAGGCCATCAGAAAAATTTCTGCGGTCGCGGTGGGAATCGAACCCATCTACCGGTAATCCAACGTGGATAGAAACTAAAACTTCTACCTCGAGGCTACGCTGTCCACACAACTGACCTGACAACATGAAATGATCAAAATGAAATATTGATACCTACTGGCCATAGAAAATAAGCGTACGCTATCGGAGTTCTTGAAAGATGTCAAAGTGGCCTGATTACTTTGATTTCATTGGTTCACATTTTTTTTTGTTTGTGCTTATTGGTCATAGCATCAAAACAAACCGCTCTGAAGTGTTCCAGTTGTTGCCGTTAGATGGGGCGATGTGTTTATTTTCTATCGGGAATAGCGTAAATTCAACTAGAGTGTACAACCCCATCCCTCTTGAAATTATTGTAAATAACAAAAACTTATAATCTAGGGTGGCTATGGTTTGTTATTGTTCAAATGTTACTGTGTTTTCTGTAACATCTAATTTTTGTGTACTGTCTTTCATCAATTTTTTTTTTCTTATTTGTTGAAACACAAAAATTTTGTAGCCTGGATGTGTAAATACTACAGAAATTGATATAAAGAAAGCATGTCAAATGAATAAACCAATACATGGTGTGAAACAATCAAATATGGCTCCTCCAAAAATTTCACCTTCAACATCTGGTTTAGTGCCTCCTAAAAAGTCTGTAGAACAACTCAAGAAACAAATCATAATGCTGAAAATCAGAATTGATAGAAGAAACATCAAGATATCCAAAGCAGCTGAATCGTGAGGAATTAAATGATTGAAATAATTCCTTATAAATATGTGCTGTTTTTACAGATTTGTGGCATACTATGAGCAATACTTAGAATATGACAGTTTTTTCGCAGCATCAGAGTGTCCAAATCCTTGGATATCTGATAGTCCTGATTTGTGGGAACAAGAAAAATTGGCAAAAGACATATCAGCACGTAGAGTTAAACGTTGGGCCTTCAGTTTGAAGGAACTACTTCAAGATCCTGTTGGCAGAGAGCATTTTGTTAAATTTCTAGATAAGGAATTCAGTGGAGAAAATTTGAGGTTAGATCTCTTATTGAAATGTCAAATTACTACATATTTATATTTCCATTTCCGTTAAAACTGTAAAACACTTATTTCTATATATCTATGGAGTTATTTCATACACCATCAACCAGTTCATCACATTTTGTATTTTCAACATGCTAATTATAAAGTTGTAATCTTATTTTAACTTTTAATCCCATTTATTCTGTGCTCTGTGTAGGACTTGGCTACTAATTCCTTCACTAATTCTATACGCTACCATGAACCGTGAGTGACTATTTCCAGCCTATGAATTTAGAATTCATATTTTTTATAGTAAATTAACAACAGTAATTATTGTACTTACCTTCCCAAATATCTTTCCTATTATCAACATCTTATACTGGTTTTGTCTTTATTTAAACACTGAGTGCATAATTTCAGTCCAATGGGAAACGGTATTAGTCATAGATTATTTTCACTAATGTATATTCTGAACCTAATATAGGGTGATGTCACTAAATCCCAATAAATATATATTATAGGATTTTTGCATATTGTAACGTGTGCGATTCTTAACTAGAATAATAGGAATCAGATAATCTTCATTTTATTCAATTCTACTACAGGATATTCGAAAAAAAAAAATTAAAAATGGAGAAATATAAAATATATTTTTTTAGTTCTTCCTGCAACAGATTTGAAATTAGATAGGTAAATATGCATGATGGGAGGCTAGACAATTTTGATCAGAATCTTGAGTGTGAATGTTTTCAATTTCATTATTATTATTTTTGATTTTTATTTTTTATCCCAGTCACAAAAACATCATGTCATGGAAATAAAAAGATGATCGAAAAAGTTCATACATTAAGTAGAGAAAAAAAAGATGAAAATATTTTATAGGTTTTGGGAAGCTGTACAGGATCTCAAAGCTTTACCTCAGAGCCAAGTTCAAAGCAAAGCAGTGGAAATTTGGACTGAATTTTTGGCACCCGACGCTGGCTGTCCTATCAACGTCGATTCTCGTTCAAGTGAGCTTACGAAAAAGAACATGGAAGTACCAGATAGATGGGGATTCGATTGTGCTGCAGTAAGTTTTAAAAAAACAGAGTACATGTGGTATTATATAAGTCTTACACTCAGTGTTAAGGTGGATTCATGGGAGCAAAATTCATAACAATTGAATTTTAAACAGAAACCAATGTTATAAAACTATGAAATGTAATGTAGGTGTTCAAGCAAGTGACTAAAAAATCAAAACTAAGGAAAGTGGCCATCATTCAATCAAGAAATTAATTTCTTTCATAATTCCCGACAGCGCATGCGTCAAATAATAACTAGCCGCGCTGGAATAAGATTAAACAGCTGATGAAAGGTTATTATTGCATGAATACCTATATATTTTTAATTTAAAATTCATATAAATCTTAAATTCTTTATGAACCACTTGTTAAAAAAATGAAAAAACTACTACCTTGGTAGTGAAATAACAGCCAAGTTATGAAAAGAAGTAAGTTATGATAGATTCTAGGGCTAGTGATGGGAATATAACATATTAGGGGGCGGCCTTCTCTTGCCTCCTATGTGTCAATAAATCATGTATGTTTTTCATTTCAGAATCATGTTTACCATCTGATGAAAAGTGACAGTTATTCGCGGTATTTGAGATCAGAAATGTATAAGGAGTTCTTGAATGGGTCAAAGAAAAAGGTAAGAAAAATACAAATAAATTGGTAAATGGAGAATAAGAGAATTGGTGTGGGCTTATAGGGCTTTTGGAAGAGCTTCTGCCACATTCAAGAACATAACTTAATCGATATGATTGTAAACACTAATCTAGAAATATATGTCGGCTTATTTAGAGCAATGTTGTAGTTGATATGCATTGCTTGCTGTGTTCTGGGCCATGTTGATTGTAACTGTTTACCTTAATTTTCAGACTTCAGTGAAAGGGATACGATCAATAGTTTCATTTTCAGCGCGAAAAGACAATGTCATTTAGTTTGACAAAATGATCGAAAATGGCATTCAAACAAAGATTTATCAGACTTGATAAATAAAACTATATCGACAATACAAAAGGCCATTGGCGGTTTTATGTTGATTTTTTTCTTATGATTGGAAGAATTGATAATCACTTTGGATTGGTGGTTCTGCATGTTGGGATGAGTTGAAAAAACAGACGGATTACAGATTGTTGTCAATGATATTCGAATAGATATTACCAGTGGTTATGGTGACCCAGTATTTGTCATGAAATTAAATTGTTCAATTTCACTTGTTCATTATTTTGGGTAAATGTTGATATTGAATTTGTGAATAATTAATGTTGATGAATTGTAGTTGATGAACCTGATAATTATTTATTATAAATGTTTTTTTGTCTAGTTAGTAATGACAAACAATAATTGTGATAGAAAGCACAAACCGAAAAAAGCTAAACTAATAAATATATACAGGGTATCCTGAAATTACAATGAAAGATTTCTACCACAGATTCTAGGAACAAAAATAGTAAAAAAACTTCATGAACATGGGTCCAGGAATGCCCCAAGATGGGTTATTTCTGGACACATGTTTATATGAACTTCTTTTAGCATTTCTGTTCATAGAATCTGTGGTTGAAATCTTTCTATGCAATTTCGGGGCACCCTGAATAATGACATATTTATAAAAAATCAACCTGTGGTATGGCTGATTTTTCATGTGTGAATGATGAGTGGATAATGTGATTCATTTTTTGTTTTCTATACTGTTGTTATTTATCTCCGTTTTTTTCGAAAAGTCAAGAGTTATGTTTAACGCTTTGCAGTGTGGAATATTTTTGTTTACAAAAAAACACTGCCATTTTTTATTATGATGACTAGTGTTTACACTGCAAGGTTAGAGTCCGAGTACTTGATATCGAGTAATGTTGTCTAATTCACCAACGGAAAATCGGACTCGAGTTTCGTTAGTAAAAGTAACACTTGTTGTTGGATATGGGACCCTAGTACTAGCTTATTTGATCGGTGCTCAAGTTTATTTATCATATTATGTAATGATACATGTGAAGACTATAATGTTAACTTCCTATTTCCTCAATACTAGCTGTCTCCTCTTTTCAAAAATAATTCTTGCATTATTTATGTACAATGGCTAGGTATGTAATTCTTTGTTATTCATGTGCATATCATTATTCCTCATTGAGGCTTAATTGAGTCTAGGACCGGCAAAACTAAGTTGTTCCAATATCGGCATTCTTATTTAAGACGTTCTAACTTCTCACGAACACTGATTACTAAAAGCTGTATACAATGCTCAATGAAAACATACCAACTGGCACAGGCGGGTTATTTATCCACTATACAGTGTGCCGACTTTAACTGGAATGAGTTCGCTAGCGTCAACGAATAATAGTAAATTACATAACAAGTGTGGAAAGTGACATATGAATACACTTTCAATCGAGTTGTGTTCACTATTTTTCCTACGAACATAAATATATAATTTAAAATACAAATACAAGTTTCAAACATTGAATTGTTATTAATATAACTTGTCATATATCTTTTATCTATGTTAAAATTAATCTAACTTATTATTCGGTAAATAAATCATAGTTTCTCTCCGAAGGAAAAAAAATTGAAAGGGATACGGTTTGGAAACCATATTTTTTATTGAATTCGAAGTTGTCGTGAGCTTAGCCGACAGCTACCACGCACCTCGAAAATTAAAACTTGTTTTTTTGTTGCTTTTTTGTATTTTATTTAGGTAGGTGAACTTTGATTTTGTGAATCAATTCAAAATAGTCCGAATTAATTCAGAAAGTCGGACTCTTTTTACTTCTTTATTGAAATCCTGACTTTTCCAACCCTGCCCTGAAGAGATATATTCTACATATTACTTGCAAAATGTAGGAAAATACATTGAAGATGTCGGGAAGTTTTAGTAAAAATATTCACCTCCCTGCTAGCAAATTTATTCCAGTTGAAATCTCCAACATATATTTTGACCCCCGTCAACCCTTTTAGTAATGGAGCTATTGAATGTTGATTAGTATTCAATTACATCTTCTTGGTAAACCAAATCAAGATATAATTGCTCCGTATTGGTCAAGTAAAATAAACATATACCTATTGGTGCTCTTTTCCAGAATTCAAATAAGTATATAGAGATTGTTAGGTCTAGCTGTCATACTTTTGATATCCCATTTGTAATTTTGGACCTTGGAAATGCAATAAGAGCATTAATAATTTGAAGCATTTTATAGGCGATAGTGGAGGTGTTTCACAAATACTGAAAATACTTTCAAGGCAAATCTAGAGCATTTTCAAGCTACAATATCTCAAAAGATATAACAGCTAGAAACACCAACCCCTATTAGTATATTTGATTTCAGTTTTCGTTTCACTTGAACAGTGGGGATTTTATAAATGAAATCCTGAAACTTTCGTTTCAGTTGTTCGTAGCTCTTTTAACAAAACAGTTGAAAGTTTCAAATAATCGAATATTCTATATATATATATATAGTCAAGAGATCGCGTGATTTCAGCTTCGGTTTCTGTTGTAGCTAGGTATTTCTTGATTTTCGTATTTTCATTGGTTATTTGATTAATACTACCTTGACACTCAGGTGGGATGTTAGATAACGTGTTATATAAGAGACAAAGCGGCAAAGAACGTACTTGTTCCGAAATTATGACATCCATACATTAAAGCAAATTTGCTGTGTCACCATATCACGTTCAGTCGTTCAGTCCAAATACCTGTTGGTATGGATTCCTATATATTCTGATTATGCCAATAATTATATAACATACGCTTCATTTTTTCATAGCTGAGTAGTGGAATGAGTACATGCACTTGCTATCAGAATATTATTATTAGTATTCTTATTTGGGACGTGACTTTTTTTGCAATGCTAAACATTCCATATTTACTCATAAAGTGGGACATTGTACTCATTGGAAACCAAAGGCCGAACAAATTTTTGTATCAGATTTCCTTGATTGTAAAGCTGCATGTACATATACAGTCAGTAGATTAAGTACATATCAACGACCATGTGAAATTGGCTCATTTCAATAAACACGAATAGGTATCATAACGAGGTATTACCTACTGAAGTCCATAGGCGAGCTTTAAAAAAGTGTGAAACTTTCGAAAGTTCGGTTGAGATCGAGTTCAGCTGAGTATGGCAATCAACAACTACACATTTTCATTCGGTAATGGAATAACAACGAATTGATAAGTTATCATGTTGCCACTGATAGAAAATGAAATTCAAGTATGAAAATGGTCAGTTGAAATTGCATACAACAAAAACAATTTCCAAATGTTCAGTGACGTCTAGATTAAAATAATGTTATCATTACTCAAATATAAATCAAACCTCGAATACTTATTTATTATACTAGGGAAAAATCTAATATTTTTCCCGTGTATAATACACTATTTTTTTCTGTGACAGGAAAAGGAACGAATCAATATTAAGAATATATTACATTATATTAAAATGAGAAAATTATCGACGAGAAATTTGAAGTTTTCAACAGGAATTACACCTGCGTTGCAGGCATCCTTATCATTCTCTTGAATTAATCAAATATCTGTCGCAGTCTAATTCTGTGATTTGATTTAAAAAATTACGAACTTAGTGGTTGTTTAGTAATTTTAAGTAACCGCGAAGTGGAAGGGAAGATGAATGGGCCTTGCAGTTCTTCCTCGGAGACTGTGTTATTGGCTTATTTTTCGGAACTAGCACAACAAAAGCCATCAACAGAGTATATATATATATATCCATCTTCAGGGTTACTACAATAGTTTTTTTTGTGTACAATGACAGCAATATAATGAAATGTTCAAATGGTACTTACACTATGAGGTGTGAGTACCATTTGAACATTGCATTATATGCATTATATTGCTCTCATTATAAAAAATATATTGTAGTAACCCTGAAGATGGAAATATACATTTCCGAAAGCTCGGACAAACTGTAATGAGTTCACCTTCACTTTGCTGCAATCCCCACTAGCAAACTAGTTTTATCTCTAACGTGTCAGCAACGACTCCCCTTTCTTATAAATATATATATTTATATCCGGGAAAAGAGTAATTTAGGAAAAGTGACATTTTATAACCTGTCAACAGAGATGAATTTTTTTTCCGTCACAGAAAAAACATCTATTTTTGTATAACCGTTCGACTTCGTTGAACTGAAAGATGGCGCTGAACGTATTTTTTTTTATTTGAATAAGTGGAGTGTAACAGAGATAAAGCTTCATAGTTCAATATTGATTCAGGTAGAAACATACTCAATCTAGAATGTCTTAATTTTTCATGCGGACATTGCACTGGAGCTACTATAATGTTTCAAAATATGCTATGAAAAAATAATCCGATTGAAGTAATTATACATAATATGCCGATAAAAAGTTTAGGAGAATATTGTTAAATTGTAAAGGAATTGAAATCGTATAATTCACTCAAAAATTGTCCATAGATAGAATGATTATACGTCTTATAGGTAATAAATAATCATGAAAATGTTGAGATTATTTTATTTAGATATATCCTCACTTACCTTCTCTCTCATCATTATTTGCCTGTCAATCATCTATGCCATACATAGTTTTCCACCCAAAAAATCATTTGGAAAATTAAACAAGTATTTTGATAAATAAATTTATTCTAATATCTACATGATTGTGTATATTGCAATACCTTAAACTTAGTGTAGGTATAAAATTCGTCCACAGCCTCTATCTTGAGAACTGAAATTTAAATGTAAAATGGGATATGATTCAACGAGTATGTATCGATATAACGAGTATCACAATCATGTTCTCATTCACTTGAAGTACATTGATACTACCAAACAGAAATTCTCACTCGCCTTCGGAAAATACTTTTGATTTAAAACAAATCATACTAACGAGAAAATACTAAAATTTAATGACACAGGATTATTTCTGCTCTTTCAACTAACTTTCAACATGAAAATCAGTAGGTAGGTAGCTTATAAAAAAATAAATTATTTTTATGCATTATATACAATTTGAATGGACTTTTTTAAAAACAATATGCCATTATATAGCATGATCACTTCAATATGTAATGCTACAGCATTATAAATATTAAAACAGCCTAGACTAGAATTTTCTTGAGCATGATTAGGTTCGAATTATTATATTTATTCATATCTATAGGCAACGATGGTTCATTCTTCTTTGTCTGCGTATGCCATACTAGTATCTGAAAAGGAGATTTTTAGTTCATTTTTCAAAAATTATCACGGAATTATAGTACAAATGATGGTTCCTGGTTCCTTCAATCTTTGAGTCATTCAAATGATATAATTTTGCAGCAGATTTTATAATTGAGGTGAAAGAAAAAGTTCGTGGTGAAGAATGTTTTGTAAGATATGTTTGATCGTAAAGTGGTGATAATGCACACAATAATAGGTAACTATTGATAGTAGGAATGTATAAACTCACTTTTGTACAATTTGTTGCAAGTAACTCAACTTGTTTGGGTTCAAAAGGTGACAGACTTTTCAGGAATCCGTCCTCTTCGAAACCTGGCTTGAAAGGCATCACAGCATGGGGGCGCAATAAAAGGAATTCGACGGACACCGCAAACCCAGCCATATCTACAGCAAATTTTCTCCCACCTATCCAACCGTCATAGAACCCTGAGAAAACACCATTACGAACTATTGGTGAACTGACCCCTGCCTTCGTAATCAGCCCCACAGGAAACATGGACACCCTTTTTGTGTACCTTATCTGTAAATTGAGAAACATTATTATCTTTTCTATTACCATATTTCTTATGGAACTCGTCTCATAACGGTATCTCATAATATTTTTCATAATTGTTTTGATACAGGTACAAATTTATCCACATAATAATCGGATCATTGAATCATCAATGAAGCACATTAATAGGTACTTGCAAAAGTCACCACCGGACGGTGCAGTAGTCACTGCCAAGAATAACCACCCTGACAGAGTTACAGTGACAGATCGACATCGGTGCCGAAAGTGTTTGTTAAATTAAGTCAGTTTTATTTAAAATTATTCTGATTATTTCATTAAGAATTGAGAAAATTGATCTGGGAGGTAAGAAATAACATATTATTATCATTATTCAACTCAAGTTAGGTACTCAAGAATGTGTTGGCTGAAATCGATTAACGAGTTTGAGATTTTCAAAATTCCCGCAATTCCAGGTCCCGCCAATATAGATAAAATGTCAGTAATATTTTTTCGAATATCCTGTGAATATGTTTCAATTATTCAGTTTGAGTGTGAATATGTGTGGAAAGCAAACAAAGCTGATTCGAAAAACGAGCAATATGCCAATATATGTGGTAAGAATCCGTAGAGTGGGTCTATCCAATTTGCACCCATATTGAAAATAGTTGATGAAAGGAGACTTCTATAATTTCAAATCTTAATCGATCAAAGATATGATATAAATATTATACATCATACATCTGTAATCGGGTCCATAGGACCTACATACTTGCTTGAATAACTCCAAATCGTAGGTGTTGTCGTCATCTGCAAAGTAAAACACGCCTGACTTAGCATTTTGTCGTATCCACTGCAACCCCTTGTTTCTGTTTGAGACTCCTCTGGGCTTAGGACCTCTAGTTTTGTTTTTGAATTCTACAGGCATCGGTGCTAAACGAGGAAACAAAAACGCTTATAGCCCAAGAAGGAACATGAACGCCAGCCCTTCGTTAATTTTTGAAAGCTGAAAGTTTCTTATTTCTTAGGACTTTTAGAGCATGCTCTCAGTACGATGGGCAAATAATATGAAGTTAAGGTAGCTTTAGCAGGTAGCAAAGGTGTTGAAAATACAAATAACTTTTTCTTCGGGATAATATTATTAAAAATCACGTCATACATTGCCAGACACCATGGTATGGCTACTCCTTGCCAGACCCTCTTAACACATTGCTTGCCAAGCCGTGATTGGGGATTGGCTATGGGGGCCAAACCACAGTTTTCAATTATTTGTGAGTATTTTATATTGAAATGAAGGTTTGTTTGATACTGACGTGTTTTTTTGTAGCTTTTGGTTATATTTTTTTGGTTTCGTTGTGTCACTCATATATGAGAGAAAAAGGCAAATTTATAACTGGAGGCTACGTGATTCAAATATGAGCGACGGTTCCTTCAGTATTTTCTCTTTTGTTTCCTGGGTTCTCTATTAGCAGGCCAGCAAACAAAATCTCAATACGAGCATTTCAAGATATATCAGCCGCAGACCCACTTGATTTGAAGAATTCGGACAAACCACAAAGGACTGAAACGGCAAAATCATCTACTTCATCGTATCATTCACAAATTTGTTTGACCATGTTTCAATGAGATATATTAGTTTAGTTTTTAGTTTGATTTTTCACCTCATTTTGTACGGAAATATAATAGTTTTGACTTTTTGTACTACAATGTCTTTATCTTTTCAATTTTGCTCAAACCAAGATTCACATGGTTTTCTCCAGGGGCCACTCTCGACATTCCCCATTTAAAATGTACGGCAGCGTGATGCATATGTGAGAGACACGCACTGATAGAGTATAATATTTCTCTCTCACATATGAGAGACGAAGCACCCTGGGAAAGTTCAATGTCGCTCATATATGAGAGACATGGCACGCAATAAACCTTAATGAATCATTGTAAGTTAACTTACGTTGAAATATAAAAGCTGAATTTTATACATGTTACTTTTGTATACAGTGCGTCCGTTGAAATCACTGCCCTCTGGAAGTTTAGTGGATAAATTGATTAATAATAATAAAATTTTAGAGCTCCGAGCGTTCTTTTCGAAAATTATTCCTTTAATTTTTTACGAATTTTTCAACAGCACAGAATTTAACGGACGCACTGTATACAAACCCTATGTGTGAAATATTTTTGAATCCAGCTTTCCATGGCGATTCCAAAAATGTTATAATATATAGGGTATTTCATTTGAAATAATTGACGCGGACATGATTATTTCAACGTGGATCACCTTGTATATTCCATTTTCCCCTATAAATATGGTAAATTGAAATTAAAAATCGACCTATTTCAGGAGATTCTTCAGAAATAGATAGTTTGACTGTAAATGAATGAATTCGGTAGGTACTTTACAAAAGCACTGTATGTTTGTCTGGCGAGCACTATTAGAACTGTCTGACTACTGAGGAAACATATTCTAATAGTTACCCAAGTAACATGTCTAAAATTCAGCTTTTATTCTTTAACGTAAGTCAACTTAAAATAATTCATTAAGGTTTAAAGTCTCATATTATCCCGAAGAAAATATTATAAAATTACACTCTATAATTTGCTACCTGTAATATGCCAATAAGGCACCATGACCTAAACCTCATATTTGCCCATCGTTCTTACCCGTGGTGAGAGCATGCTCTGAGGAACTTCAGCTTTTATAAAATAACGAAGGTCTGGCAATGATAGGCTCTTGTTCTATTAGGTATTTACTGTTCAGAGGTAGGTATGTATAGGTACCTAAGATAGAATCGTGTGAGCCAAATTGCATCTACTTACCAACCATGTATTGGTATCTTAGCCCTGATCTGCTCAATAGTTCCTCTATGAGATCATTCCTTTTATAGGCATCCTCTATCACTAACCAAGTTAGATTCGGCACATGCATTAGGGTATGAGATAATCGAGTAAGTTCTGCAAGTTGTTCAGGTCTTTTGTATGTGGGTGTTATAATGAAGAGAGGCGGTAAATCAGAACCATCATCAGGTGTCACGTTATTGCACTGAAAAAAAAAGACGGCATACACATCAGAGTATTTGCAAAGTAAAATAGTTCCTGCTTGTAGGTAGTTCGGAGAGTAGGTTTGTAAAGTACTCATTCAGCAAACCAGTAAAACATTAATCGATAGATATTTTGAATATTTGAGATTATTGTTCACAAAAATATTCAAATATATTCAATAGTCATATAACAATGCCAACATATTTCGGCAACAAGATTTGTCATCTTCAGTGTAGATCTGAAAAGTGAATATAGGACTTTTATAACCTTATTCTTATATTTCTGGGAAGGATATTGGAACCACCGGATAGAATCTATCTCTGAGTTTGTGAAAAAATAGGGTCGAAAATAACCATGGAGGAAATAGAAAAATCACATCCACGACTTTTGACGAAATTGGCTTTTCTCGGCTGAATAGCGACTAGTGACATTCACAAGGTGCCCCAGAACAACATACAATAAAATCTATTGAGTAAACTATAACTCCAGAAAATTGGATTCAGTGCATCCCATTTTGGTCGAGAATGCTAGGTTTCTCGGTTGTCCTTGAATATATAACCTTGAGGTTGTCATGTTTCTGTCCTACTTTTTTGTTAAGCTCAAAATGGCCTTATGGTATAACAATCGAAATCGAACTCTTTCCAGAGTCCACTGAAAGGAGAATATCAGAGATGGGAGCTTGGTTCAAGCAGGCATCGCAGGATAAAGTTTGAGCCGGGAGGCTGAGACTAATTAATTTATTTTTCACATTCAATCTTTAGATACAGTAGAATTTTATTTTTTCATCACCTTACTACATATATCGATTTACAGCACTGTTGAGTGGGTATGCCTACCAGAATCATATAGGACTATATTTTGGTAAATTGCAATGTTAACTGGGGTTCAAAAGAGGTTTTTGAATCATTTTCTGGTGAAATAATGCAACTGTAGGGTATATAACGGCTTTTTTGCTTTTTTTTTCAAGAAAATGCAAACAAGAATGCTTCAAATATCTGTACCTCCGTTATCTTAAATATTTTATATGAGCAATTTTTTGCTAAAAAACTCATTTTGGCGAGATATATATCCTGTTAAGAAGAAAACCTCACTTTCAAATTCACTGTATAGGTGAAATGTTTCTTATTTCTCAGGGTTAGTTTCAAAAACGTTTCAGAATCATAACATGATTTACTGGGTTAGTATTCTCTTTTTACCCAATATTTTAAAGTACAAAATAATCACAAATGCGAATTCTTCAATTATTGATACTTCTTTTGTATGACAAATCCACGGCCGACTACCAAAAAATTGATCATAATTCAATGTTCTAGTGTTATTTCTAAAAATCCTATGTATAAAGTATTATACATCATCCTGAAGAAAAGAATGCAACTAAATAATGAAATACGGTTTGTAATAATAGTATCTCCAAAACTGTAGGCACCCGAAAAACGAATGAGTACGCCACTGGATTCTGCCCAAAATTATGTCAAACGAAGGAGTCAAAAGAGTATAAATTTTCAAAATCGCCCTATATAAATGAAAAAAGTTATGCAAAATTTGATGATGCCATTTTTAGCTTTACAAAAAAGTTGGACAAACATGACAACCGCAATAAGGTTCTATCTTTAAGAACCGAGAATCCTAGCATTCTCCACCAAAATGGGATGCACTGAATCCAATTTTCTGGAGTTATAGTTCACTCAATAGATTATAGATTTTATAATATGTTGTTCTGGGACACGTGAATGTCGCTATTCAGCCGAGAAAAAAACAATTTCGGCAAAAGTCGTGGATGTGATTTTTCTATTTTCTCCATGGGTATTTTCGACCCTTTTTCTTTTTTTTCCTTACTCTGAGATAGATACTTCACGAGTGTTCGAAGTTCGAGTCTTTTCCTCTCACTGTGTAAAGTGATTGGCGGCTGGCCAAGCGGTGCACGGCAATAAAGGGCCCAAGGAAATCAATTTTCCGGTGTTTCATTCACAGCCTTGACTTTTTTTATAAATGTTCGAGTTAGCGCACTATAAAGGTGCCGTCGTTTTTCATTGTGCCATTTCGACGAGCAACGGAAGTATAATGTCAGTAGTTGCGGAATTGAGGAATATCAATTATTGGAAATAGTTCTTTCAGCACAAAGAAAAAACTTCACTTGATATTACGGAAACTTGCTACAATATGGGGTTGTACAACCAAGTCGAATTTTCGCCACATATATCTATTTTGTATTGTTCTTTCCATATATCAATGATATTTGGTAGTCATTCATCATTTGAACTCATCACATGATTGTGAAAGTAGAAAAATGTGTATTCTTCCAATTAAAACTGCTGCTCCTAAGACGGCGTATGGAATTAGTAACAAAGCCCACATAGAACACATCATTTCAGAACACTTTGTGCTGAAGGAAGTCAATAGAGGTCGATGTCCAGTTGGTATGTATACAGGGTGTCTCAAAAGTAGCCTGCCAAACTTCACCAACGGCTTCTTCGACCAAAAATAGAAAGAAAAGTTCAAATGAATATGAGTCGAGAAATGTCTCCAAAGGGAGTTACGACCTCTTGAGAGGGGGTCCTGAAGATGATATTTATTGAATATTTCCGAAACGCCACCTGATGAAATAATCCAATTTGGTGCACGAACTAAACTTTCCATGCCCAATGCGGTGAACATAAAATCATCTCAAAGTTTCATTCAGGAGTGTATAATACAGGGTGCGACTACATTAAATATTGCTCAAACTTCTTCGTGTGCATATTTTTTGACAATTTAATCTTGCATTACGAAAATCCACATCGTTTCACAAAAAAAGATGCTCCTGTTCCGCATCATGTATCATTTTCGAGTGAGATTGATTAAAAAATATTGATGCACTCACATCCGAGCTCACATCTAATGCATAACGTTGCCAATGTTCAAATCATAGTGGCTAGAAAAAAATCAAGTACTTATTTTCAACAAACAACCTCAAAAAAAGCGCAAAAAATAGGAAAATGATGATGACAAAACTACTTCGATTTTTGTGCGTTTTTTCCATTTCCACTACGCCTCATTGCAATGTTATCCATAATATTTTTAAATTGCTTTCACTTGATAATAATACATCTGATCGTCACTGAACAAGAGTACCATTTTTTGTAAAAAGGTGTGAAATTTCATAATCTGAGATTGAATTGTCGAAAAATATGCATACAAAAAATTTTTAGCAATATTTAATGTTCTCCCACCCTCTATCATACACTCCTGATTGAAATTTCGGAATATTCTCATTGCATTGGGCATGGAAATTTTAGTTCTTGTACCAAATTGCATCTTTTTATCACATGGAGTTTCGGAAATACTCAAGAAACATTATCTTCAGGAGCCCCGTATCTCCCAAGAGGCATTTCTCGTCTCATATTCATTGGAAGTTTTCTTTCTATTTTTGGTCGTTAAAGCCGCAGGTGAAGTTTGGCAGGCTAATTCTGGGACACCCTGTATACACTCGTCTTCAGCGAACATGTCGCGGTTGGACGGTATGAGCACTCTTATTGCAGCGGCGATTGAGGGAGCTGACACCGTCCATGTGCGACATGATCTCTGAAGACGACTGTACATACCTATACCAACGAAGTATATATTCTATTAATTAATACTACTACTGTATATTCTCACCAACACTTGGAGTTTCCTTTCGCTGACTTCTTGTCGTACTTCGTTAACATTATTGTTGATTCCATTTGGTATTACCCAAGGGTTGTAAATGTGATATTGTACTAATATTATGAATGCACAGACAAATACTATGAGGTAAAGTTTCATAGGTATCCTCATAGTTTCATGATCTATCTTTCGCTGAAACAAAAAAAAATACATCTATACTTTTCATTCTTCCATTTTATTGAATGTATCGATGAAAGCTGGCCATCATATGCTGAATAAAGAATAACACTGTTTTCATTTTATGATTGATGGTTTTGATAAATTTCTTGTGTGACATCCGTTATCATTTTATCTAGTATTTATTCATTCCATATAAATATAGGCGCACGGAAGAACAACACGTGAGAACACTGATTCTCTACACCACACCAACATTACGTTGAAAAATTCAACAGCAGGAAAACTTTTCTTTTCATGACACTAAAATCAATCGCAGCAAATGCGAATTATACGCCTTGTAATACGATGAAAAATTATGCATAATTAGAGCGCACGAAAGGAATTCTTATTATGTTTGTGGTACCTAGGAAGCATAGGGAGGTATAAGGTAGGTACTGGATTTTTTAACTTAGTTTGAGCACAGTTGAGTCCGTGGCAATACTTCTTAGGCAGAGAATTCCAGAGCTTTGCTGTTTTATACACAAACGAAATTTAGTAGAGAGTTGTTCGACATAATATATCGGGGTTGATGACCAAAGAAGAGATGACTGAGCTTGTCGAGTGCGTCTGACTATATTGCTATAGTGATGGAATGACAGCCGAGATTTCCGATGAACCTTCTCCGGAAGTATAGGAACTTGTCGAATTTCCTATGAACCACTAACCACTGATGTCAAGGAATTAGTGATTGTGGTATCACCAACTCTGAATGGAATCCAATAAGAGATATTGAATTGACTGGACCGTTACTTGATGGTTTGGGTATTTGCAGAGATTATATATGTACACTGTGTATAATCTCTGGTATTTGGGAACAATATTCTATTGAGGTTTTTGTCACACGAAGGAGCCAACTTTTGTGAATTTCTTTATTCAGACTTTGAAGAAGAAATAAAATAAAATACACACAAAAGTGGCCTCTCTACGCTTCCGTATACCCTCGGCGGGGAGTCGTTGTTGGTTCTCGAAGCTTCCTAGTTTCATAGGATGAAATGGGAATTCTGGAAGGGATCGTAGAATGGGAAGTACTGTATTTCTGTGGATTGACCAGATGGTTACTACCAACAAACCATTGATATGAAGTAGGAAGAATGATGCCAGAATTGATCCTTGTGGAACGCCGGAATTGATGGCTATAAATTTGGCAAGTTCTTTTTCTTCAAATGGTTTGTGATTTCGAATTAATAAACAATGGTTTTTTATATTGTGCTGCCTTTGGATGCGAAATAAGCAAGGCAAACAGAAATTGTTCTTTATGGGTAAGTTGAAAATTGTTCAGATTCTCAGAAAAACTATAGTAATTTATTTTCAGGATGTGTCTGTGGATGTGTGTGTGGATGTTCATAACTTGGATTCTAAGGACGATGTTTTTCATATGGACCTTGATTTGCCTACAACTTCCAGCTCCCAAGTTTATTGATAATGAAACCATCTAACGTTCAAATTTGTAAACTCAAGAGCTACATCAAATTGTCTCTTCAGGTTTGCCTTTGCAGCTTCTTCTCCAGAAATGAGAAATGAAGGTGTACATTCTGGGTGACGCAGATATTCATCTTTAATGAAACAATTCGTCCAAACATTGAATATTTATTCACCTTTTATTCACGTTTCATTCACCTTCTAATAATGAAATGTTTATGGAAAAATGGGTACTCCCAAATGAAAATTAGGCTCAATACTCAATAACATTCAAGAACCTCTTTTCAATTTTTTTCTATAGTTTTTCTTTTTCTTCTGATAGTGCTGAGACATAGAGCTTCGCTCACCCTGTACAAGATATTTGACATTTGAATGAGAATATATAATTTCAATTTTGTATTCATTTGACTTCCTAATCCTGTGAGAATAAAAATAGCCCTACCTTTCCTAACGGGTTGAACTACGGGGGCTGAAAAAATATGCATTTTAAGTGTCTTCCTTGCGGAAATGAAATTGACGTGCCTTTTCGATTTTTATATCATTTACTGAAAGGAAGATAATAAGGGTGGGAAGTTTTCTAAGTGACATGGCATTTTTCGGAAACTGCTCAACAGAAAATTATAAACTATAGAGGATCGTTGGAAATAGAATTGAACGCTCTACAAAATGATGTGCCACTTGACCCCCCTTCCCATTTGAGATTCTCAGGGTAACATCTATTCCTCCTAGGGGGTTGAACCATGAGGGTTAAAACTAAGAATTTCAGCGTTCCCTTTTAAAATGAAATATTATTCACTGGAAGGAAGATATTGAGGGTGGGATGTTTTGAAAATGTCACCCTGTATAGGTATATTATAGTCTAATAGTATACAGTATACGATACCCATGGCATTCAGTTTGAATTTGGCATTTACAGAATCCTAGGTCATCAATGTGTGTTTCAAAGATTGATTTTTGCCCAACTTACCAACATTCAAATAGTGAACTTCATCATGCACAATATTGAGGCTCTGAGCGAGTTATCTCTTGGTTTACCATGGAAAATCATGATGAATGTTCAGTTGAAAACAGACACGGACAACACGTAAACTATCATTGATATACCCAAGATACGCTCTGATATTATTCTTTTGGTCCAACTATAACTAGTCGGAACCTCCGCAACAAGATAAGAAGGAACGAAAATAAATTCTATAACTTTTATCGTCAAAATCCGTTTCCGTTAATGACATATCTATATTACTTATGAATTAATGTACAATTATTCCTGGGATAACTGAGAGGGCGATTTTTGCCCATTTCAGATGTTGCACGTTGCACCCACCATCCACCAATAAAATAATAATTAAGGAGCTTTATTGGATACCCAAAAGGCTACCGACCGAGGTCCTCCAGCCGGTGTTACACAGTGATAATACATTGAGTTTAAATTTATCATTATTGTATGTACAAGATATATGGAATTATTGAATTTGCTAGTGTAAAAAAAAGAAGAAAAGTCTATTGTGAAGGAATTTCAGTCTTCTGAATGGGCTTATATCACAAAAAAATTTTATTTCTTAATTCGGTAGAACTCACCCAAACTAGCTCACCACCGCAAACCGTTTCTTGCTGTGAACTCCCTACGTTTTATAAAAAATTATTGGAATCCCCGATTTTTCGGACCTCTGAAAACGAGGCGATGATGTGACGTCAAAACCCTAATACTGAAATATGACTATTCCAGATAAAGGTGAATGATACATGATTTCTGACAGAGTGAATTAGCGCGAGATCACAATTGAAAGAATTAATATATCAGTTGCCTCAGTCTCCGTCGGGCGTTTGGTATTTTCTTTTAAATGCTTTTAACTATGGCGAGATGAGGTTTCTACGTCATAAGAGGGTCTGTTTTCAGAAGGTACTATTATTTTTGTCCAAAAATAAAACATTCCAGTTAATTTTTTGATCGAATTATGTCGTCAATCATTATTTATGTATAAAAGGATCATTATGAACATGGTTTGAGTTAAAAGTTGTATACTAAGGTGTACACGCCCAATCGCCCATTGATTAAGTATTCCAATAGTGTGTTTTCCGGATACTTCCGTCTTGGGTTCACTGTTGGATCTCTCTGTAAACACTCGAATTGGATAATTTGGCGATTGGATTCGTTTTTGGAAAACTTCAACGTTAGCTTTTTCAGTCTCTTAGAAATTGATTGCACCCTGGTCAGTCGATATAGAAGTTCGTTTGATAAATGGTGAAGGGGATTTTGAGGGTGCCGGATTTTGGTAATGGCTCTCATGCTAGCTCTTTCTGCTACTTCCAAATTGTTCAGTGCCGTCTTCCTCGTGTTTATGTATATTGGGTGAGCATACTCAGAATTGGGCGGCAAATGGTTCTGTAAATATGTGCGGCAGTTCTTTTGCTAATTCCTTTATTCTTGTAAGTTAAGCTTCGAAAATGTTTAGCTCTTGTGATGCACTTTTTTTTTCATCAACTGGGTATTAAAGTTTAGCTTTTGATCTAAGTGCACTCTCAGATATTTAACTAATGCCCTAGTTCTCACTACATGATTGTTCACAGTTACCGTGGGCGAATCATCTGATATATATTGATTGAAGAGTATCAGTTGGGATTTTTCTGGATTTGGTTTTAACCTCTACTTGTCACACCATCTCATAGTGCTCCGAATTGCGTTTTGTAACTCTTCAACTGCTTTTTCAAGTGATTTATGATGACTTATAATGCCTGAATCATCAGCAAATTATATGCCATAGATGTTTTGATTTTGTAGATTTTGATTGTTCCACCAATAACTTTTCAACTCACAAATGTGATAAAATATTAGTACCTTTCTGATGGGAAAAAAATGAAGTGAGAGGTTAGAGTTTCAGAATTTCATCATTCGATATTCTTGATGAGAACTCTTTGTTTTTCAGCACCGAGTCTAAATGACCCTGTATATACGATTTGCCATAAACTAGAAAATTATACCTATAAAATGTGGATTTCATAAATCAAAATGCACATGTAAAAAACATTTTTGGCTTGTCTAGGTGAACTGAAATGTTTCTCACCCTTTCGGCAACATTTCGTTCTTTCGGCACTTTTCTTGCATATTGCACTTTTCGAACTAAAAAACATGAAATATTAGTCTGTTTCTGACATAGAGATGATTCGAAATATCTTTCACTACTATGTCCAATGTTAATGATTCAAGGCTTAAATGGAAAATTGCATTCTATATTTAGGTCACCAACAAATATACAGGGTCTCCCGAAAGTAGACCGCAATTCAATTGTTTCTTTCTCAATTCACGATGACCGATAAATCTGTAAATTTGATGGTATTATGTATAAATTAACATTACACATCTCAAATATTCTAAACAATGCGGCGTTGCCCCATCTACTAGAAATAAGTAGCAGCAACTTTGATTTTTCAAACGGAACACCCTGTTTATATCATTTTATGATATCTTATCATGTCGATATGATACATCCTTCCGGTGTAAAACGAATTTGATGATTGACATATATAAGTAATATTGTATTCGCTTGATTCGATTTCTTCTAGAAATCATTAGTTGGTCATGGTGGATAACAATTCTTATAGGGTTCAATAGATGCTCAATATTACCATTTGGAGCACCGAAATTCCGGGGAAAACTTTAA